ATACTATAATATCCCACGGTGGATCTGCCGTGGGATATTATAGTATCCCACGCTGGATTGCGAAATCATGAATTTGAGTGAAATACCGTAAAAAATCACATTATCACGTGGTACAAATGCTGTTTTTTTCATTGGACAATTTGAATTTGAGGTATAATATTATACCCATACACCACCGTACAATGACATCACCTTAGTATTTATACATGAACTTAGAGCTTGACAACTGGACTCTGTAGCTCAGTTGGTTAGAGCGCTGTACCGGAATTGCAGGGTCGCAGGTTCGATTCCCGATGCATGGAGGGCTTATAGTTGCATTTTTCGCAAATTGACCTGGTTATACCGAAACAGCTTGGAAAATATAGTCACTTTCCTTCGGTCGTGTTGTGAACATTTATGTTTTAATTATCAATTTTTTGTAGAATCCCATGGATTTATCAACGGTAGAAAAGAAAATAGACTCAAAGGAATATAAAGGACTGAAAGAGGTATATGTTGTTAACTTGTTAAGGTCACGTTATTAATTCCAGGTTTCCAATCGACCTGTTTAAAATGTCTCCGACGATAAACTTTTTTTGAAAAGAATTCAAAGATTTTTTTACAAAAATATGATTTGTGTTTAACATATTGTCTGTGTCTTGACCATGTCTGGTGTTGATGATAATTTTAAAATTGGATATATGTGTCTTGTTATTACCAAAGTCTGGTGTTTGATAAGGTTAAATAACAGAGTAGGGTGGAAATTTGTTAAAAAGAATCGTTGCTCGATAGTCTGGCCAACCCACTCACGCATACTGCTGCGCTATGCATTTTTAAATTAAAGCGTATTCCGGAATATAAATTTTTCCACTCCTGTAGTTTTGTTTTTAGTATCAAACATTCTTCTGCTTTTAAAAACCTATTTCTTTTTTATTGGTTGTTCACGTTTCCATTATAGGCTTGCAACAAATACGCTGTGCGTACCAATTTTAACTGCTATCTTAACCAGTCTAAATTCGCAGAGAATTTTTTCATATCACCACGAGGCATTATTAAAGTGTGCGAGCACTGATCGCAGCCACTTTTTGAATTTGTGCAGGCATATATGATATGCATTTTGCAGCAACGTTTTGAAGTTATGAATTTTGCTTGCAGAACACTAAAAATATTAAGGAGCCCTGCATATCACCATGCCGTCGTTCTATACTTTATCTGCCGTGATAACTTAACGCTTTAAAATTTCCGCTACCAAATTGAGAACGGAAGTGAAGATATCGGAAGTCGAACTTAAGTCTCTATTATTTCTGGTGGATTGATCAACGTACGACCCAAGTTACAGACCAAGTACCAAGTTTTCAATGGCAAATTTATTTGTTCATCTGTATAGGCAACTTAAGCCCCGTTTACACTACGCTCACTTTTTGGTACGGCACGGATAAAATTGGTACCCGTACCACTTTTTTGTTTATAAATGGGTAGAACTACCTCTAAATAGGTAGTCCAAGAACCAAAAAAGTGGCACGGGTACCAATTTTATCCTTGCCGTACCAAAAATTGAGCGTAGTGTAAACGGGGCTTTAGCAAACATGCTAGCTAGCATTTGAACATGTGGAAATTTTGATCTAGATATGCCTGGACAAAACTTTCATCACAGCTTGAAAGAGCATCACAAAATTAGTAATATTCCGAAGTTTCGTTGCGAAATGTTGTACAATGCGGATAATATAGCCTTGCGAAGTTTGCCGTTTTTCAGTCATTTTGTATTACAAATGGGAAATTGGTAATCAGTTTGATCATCTGATTATCAATTTCCCGTTTGTAATACAAAATGACTGAAAAACGGCAAACTTCGCAGGGCTATATTATCCGCATTTTACAACATTTCGCAACATTTCGGAATATTTGTCCAGACTTGTTTGGATCAAAATTTCACTCAAAAGGGGAAAGGTCTATTGACATACAAAAAATTGGCAAAGTACTACATGAGTCACGATTTAGGAACAGTTACTATATTTTTAGACTTTTAGGGTTAGGATTAGCGTTTGGATGAGGGAAAGGGTTAGGATTAAGATTAGGGTTAGGTTTAGGTTTAGGTTTAGAGTAAGGGTTGGGGTTAGATTTGGGGTTAGTATTAGGGTTAAAATACTAAAGAATATAAAATTACAAAAGTCTAAAAATAGTAACTAACTGTAGCATAAAACGGGCAATATTAATATTTTTTATTTTGTGCTTTCTACAGTTCATTTCTGATGTAAAACTCATGTTCAAGAACTGCCTGGAGTATAATGGAGAGACAAGCAGTAAGACTCTGACAATGGTTTTGCTCATTTTTTAATGTAGCTCAATAATGAGGCTTCAAGATGGCAGATATTTTGACTTTAGAGTAAATTTACTCGAAAACGACATCGGTGACCCGCAATTAGTATATTCAATTATCTTGACAATTTTAAAATAATTCTGTTGAACAAAAAACTTATTATGAATAATCACATTTATGTAATTTGAAAAAAATTGGCTTGACAGAAATGTTTTAAAATTGTCAAAATAATTGAGTATATTAAGATAATCATTTTATGAAATAAAATATGGGCTCGCCGATGTCGTTTACGAGTTAAATTAGTTTAAAGCCAAAATATCCGCCATTATTAAAACGTCATTGTTGCCATAGCTACGGCAGTCGCGTAACTCTTGTGAAAAATTTCAAACTCTTTGGATGTTTTACATAAGAGAGCTTAAAAGCTTAAGTAAACGACTTTTCTGTGATAACACAGATGTCGCGTGTAAATAATTTAGCCGTTAATTATGGCAGTTCGTTCTTGAAATTCAATGTGGTTTCACGTTCGTGGTTTCAAACAAGAACGGCTGTCGCCATGTATATATTTTCGATTGACTACAGTTTATAGACGTTTGGTTGGCGTTCGTATATAAAATATATAAAACGTCGCTTTATATAACGTGGTTAATGTATATTTTTGCTCCATTCAAGGTTATACTCAGATGGCTCGAACATTGGAGAATGTATTTGAACGCCAGATGAAGAAACACTTTCCTGATGACGACAATCAATCCAGTGACGATGACTTTGAAGAAGAGCTTACTGAATCTGAGCTCCGTAAACTAAACAAAAAGAAAACAAACGACGGAATGGAAGATTTGGTGAAGGCTGCAGACATTCATCGCTCGAATCAAACGATGTTTGACCCTCGGCTTAAAAATCCTGCCTTGTTCGCCCAACATTTTGGCATGAACCCAATGGCGAATGATGTATCCCGCATTATGCAAGATCCTATGGCGTTCCAACGAATGCCTTACATGCGGCAGCCGTTTTATCCTCCTCAGATGTATCCTGGTCATCCGGCTTTTGCAAGGTTTAATATGAATGATTTTCCACGTGGAGCTGCTCCTATGTTTTCTCCCATGATGGGTTTGCGCCATCCCGCCATGCGCATGAACCCACAAAGTACTGCTCAGTTTCCTAATCAGAATGTCCCTCCTGGAATGGTGCGCAATGTAGCACCTGTGGCTACCAAGGGTATGTTGAAGCTGTTTCTAGTTACATGGGAGGCAATGGGGCGCAAGTACTTACAAAACATAACGTCCATTAACACTTGCTTTCCCTAACTCTGGTGACAAAGAACTATGTATTCCACTTTTTATGTTGGGAGGACGGGGGGAGTAATACACAAAATGAATAGGCAATTCCAGCTTTTGACTAAATTTTGATCTAGGCAAGAAGAACAAAATCCATCGCCACAGCTAGAAAGCGCATGTTAAAATTAGTAAAATTGCAAAGTTTGGTTGCGAAATGTTATAAAATGAGGAAAATATAGCCCTGTGAAGTTCGCAAATTTTGTATAGATTATATTACGCGCGGTAAAAATAACCACTTTCGGCTCAAAAATGGTTATTCCTCACGTTATTTGTCTTTCTATAGCTGGAATTGCCTGTTGAATCTCTATTTCGTTTATGTTTATGTGACATGACAGATCAGTAGTTTATGCAAACTTGTGCGCATACAGTGAAGACAATTAATTTTTGGTAAAATCAAGTGATCACTAATGGCATACTTACTCAACCGTATTGTTGAAATATTAGCTAAAGAGCTACTGTTATTAAGAACGTCAACATGCCTAACGAAAGTGAAACGAGCGGCTGATAATATCATATTCATGAAAATGAGCAGAAATGAACAATTTAAATCCCACGGAAGTTTTAAACGTCACCGTCGCTCTGTCTACAACGGCAAAATACAGATTATCACGTCTTGTATACAACGCTTACATTTCAAACGTCGACAGCTGCTATTTTAAATTGGGTCCTAGAACTTTTCTTGATCATAAACCCCTGTGTTAACCTTGATCCTTAAACTGTATTATTTTCACACGATGGATGATAGAAGACAAGTTTTCTTCTGCAATCATTTGGTCCAACGAATTTGTTTAATGTCACTGTTGCGTTCCTGTTCTACATGTTTAAGGCCGAGGCACACCGGACGCGATTCGATAACGCGGCGCGATTTTCGAATCGCTTCCGGTATGTCTCGGCCTTTAAAGCCGGTTTTCCACTAGCGAATTTTTTCGCGCGTAGCGACCTTTTTTCTTTTATCACTTATTACGTCAGCAAGAAGTGGCAAAATGGATGCCGACAAAGGAAAAAGGTCGCTTCGCGCGAAAAAATTCGCTGGTGGAAAACTGGCTGAAGGTCGCTATTACTGAGCAGAATGAATTTCGAAAGATAACTCGTCTCAACATAAAATTGTAACCCTTTATAAGGCCTGATTCCACGACTGCGAAATTCTTCGCGAGAAATTATATCTGCAACTGGCTGCAGTGAGTATGGCTGCATGGTTGCAGTGAGTGGAACCGACTTTTACTCACTGATGAAGTAAAAGCTTTCGCATTTCGCCGAAAAGTGCGCTCGTAGAACTAGGTCTTCATACACGCTTAGAAGTTTACCGAGTTTCCAGAGCATCACATCTCAAATGGATATGGTTTCAAGATCGCCACTTGCACTGGTAACCTACTGTATGCGTAATGTGATCTATGCTTTGCTTTCCTAGGCGAACCCAGTACTTCAATGTGGACTAACAATCGAATGCAGGACAATCGAGGCATGGGCCACCCTTATCCTCCACAACCTTTGCCATCAGCTAATACCCCATGGCAAAGTACAGGTGGAGTCCTGCCTGATGGCAGGCAAATGCTCGCTGGTTGGAGGCCACCCACAGCTATGGCTAATGGTGTAACATCTGCAACTCCGGGAACGTCATTGGAAGCGGACCAGATTGACAGCAATAATTACAGAACGCACGAATTGCCCAATGAGAGAAAAGGTATTGAAGATACGGATAAAGATAGCAGTAAGAGTGGTGTTGGTGAGCATAAGGGAACAGGTATGTAATAGTATTGTCAAACTCATCATGGCTTCGATTCCCTGAACACTTGGAAAAATAGTGAAATCCATGCCATGGAAATCATATTTGCACCACTAATCTATAGTATATCCAACTTTTCCATACAATAAACATGCCAGTGCAAGCTTCTTTGAATAAGGGGAATTTGTTCGCGGCAATGTATCGCGGACAATTTGTTCGCTAACCCACTTGAAATCTGACTTTCCATTATTCCCACAATCTTTTTGAATGTTTACGTTGATTTTGTTGCTGTATTGGCGTGTGCGTATGTATGTTTGCGAGTGAATGAATATGTTTTGAGTTGAATTACTTCTATTGTTCTCTTTCGTTGTATATCGTAAACAGTCCACTTTCAGCAGTTTGTATAAGTAATAGTATGGTTTCGAGTGTGATTTGGGAACAACATGCACAACGTGAGCTTTTGAAAGACAATCTTGAAGTCTTTGAAAGACTCACGAGTGTATGTTTATCCAAATTGCTCGAGAAACTATACTATTACTTAACATCACATGCGAAATAGACAATTTTAATATAAACAATTTTATTAGCTTGGTTTTAATCAATTAATTATTTAAAGTGTGTCGAAAGAGAAATATAGACGATATGTCTTCGAAAAGCACAAAGGAATTTTATTAGAAAATCTACTAAAAACGTCAGCCATATTTTGTCACTCGTAAATGTTTGGGGTTTTTTATTGTTTTCACTTTTTGCACTGTATTTCATTTTTTGCACTGTATTTCATTTTTGCACTGCATTTCATTTTTTGCACTGTATTTCATTTTTTGCACTGTATTTCATTTTTTGCACTGTATTTCGAAAAAAATTGCACTGCTCTAGCTAATCAGGATTGAGAAATTTCATGTATATTATTAACCTTGTTAGGTGAAAATCAATTGTAAACTCTCCCTGTTCTACATGCTTTATATACACCGTTATATTTCGAACATTGCACAATGAGGGATTTACAAAAAATACGAAGGGGTTTAATCATATATTACAGTTTATTTCATAATGATTCAGACGTTAAATAAGGTTTCCAAGATTTATTTGATATTAATTCATTGCAGGTCTAATAAAAACTCCCGGGAATCCGCCGAGTGAAGACGATCTCCGTTTTCCATTTATCATGAAGCAAGGTAGACAACAGAATGAGCCCAATCCATATCCGTCCATACAAACACATAATCCCGCAATGACCAAATTACACAATCCTAGTGTTTTAGAGGGCGTCGGTAGTCCAGTTGGAATAGAAAGTCAGCGGGTTAAAACTCCACCAGTGACTATTGAATCGGGTGAGGGGAAAGTTTTCGTTAACCTGACCTCGAAAGTTAATCAACCACGCGTCGGAGAAAAACGGAGCAACCCGTATAGTGTTTCCAGTTTAATGGCCAACGACGAACAACGTACGAAGCGTTCCGAACACGAACAGTTAAAATTTTCGGCATTGTTACAAGAAATGTCTCAAGGTCGACGACCAGAGCATTTAGTCAATCTTCAAACAACCGATGCATCCGCGCAGTTCATGGACTTAAATAATACCCGCAATCAACTTTCGTCTTCATTAATTAGACAGTCGCAGACTGAAAGAGGAGCTGGGCTTGGAACCCCAGGAGCGTCCCAAGCTCAATCAATGGGTGCTAGTTACCCCAAGCCTGCACAGGGAATTCAATCACCGCTAAACTGTCCTACTGGTATTTCGTCGTTAATGAACATGAGATCCCCGGGGAACATGTTAAACCAAGAAAGAACTGGGTTTAACCCACGAACTATGTACCCGGGGTATCCTTCGCACGGAGAATTTCAACGTCAGCAAATGATGCTATTACAGCAGCAGCAGCAACAACGACAAATGATGCAACGTGAGAATTATCATATGGCAGGTTCAATGATGGCAAATGGTATACCAAGAAACATGCCACCCGAATATGCTTATTATACACAGAGACCGATGTTTGGTGCAATG